GTGTTCCAAATACAGTGGAAAAAATGTAAAGAATGATAATTTGAATTTTTGGTGCTAAGCTGTAAACTGAAGGAAATCTGCTGACACCAGGCAGAAACACCTGGTTAAGATTATTAGTAACAGCACAGCTGTATGTAATATGGGTAAGGATACAATGAAAATTACAGTGGAACTAGATGATCAGCCTAAGTGAGAGAGATAGATTCAAGGCAATAGGGTGACATAAAAGCAGTAAAGTATCTGAAGTGCAAATAAAAGTTGGATGTGCAAGCATGAGAGGTTTGAAAGGAAATGTGAGGAAATTGTAATGCCTGACAGTGAGCAAGTAACTTTACATGAGGAGTACCTCATGTGCTCAGTGGAATGTCAAATGAAAGGGATGCTGTCGTATCCAGATGTAAACTGTATATAAAAGACAGTTTAAGTTGGGGATAAACAGGATTGTATATATAAAAAAATAATTCCAGTAATAGAATATTGTCTGTGTGTAAGTTATCAACAGAAACCTGAAATTGTGAGTTCAGAACTCCACTGTTGGCGGTAGCATGCAAATCTCATCAATGTTGTAATATTGCAGAAAGCAACTGACTGCAAGAAGCAGTAATGATGAGTGACTCCATCTTGCCCACAGCTGGTGTGTCACAGAATTTCCCAAACGTTTTTAACACAGTAGACACTGTTGTGCAGACAGGAGTTGTGCCTGAGAGTTGTCAACTCTTTTTCTTTTTTGTTCCTGTTTGTAGTACCTTTTGTTGTTTGATAAGCAGATTTTAAGACATCATTAATTAGACGGGCAGGTCTTTAATTTTGTTTTTGACCAATTTCAGATCCAATTACAGAGTCAGGATGAAGTGATACATTTTTACAGATTTGCATCTGGTCCTTGTACTGAGGAGTTACCAGGGTGAAGAACTAGCCCTAGAAGGGTCAGAGTGGATAGAAATATAATACCTAGCTATGGGCTATGCCACAGCTCTCTGTTTTGCCAACTTGGAAATATAAACTATTGGAATGATACATTCCCAGCTTTTCCCACAGGTGACCGGCAGGCAGGTCTTGCTGATCTTAGGCTGCAATTAACAACTTTCTGTGTAAAATGAAGTTTCTGTTTAATTAAAAACTTTCAATTACAATCATATATTCCTAGAGCACACCTTCTCTGTGATATTTTCTTATGCCTATTCATTCTTGACATTAAAAGAGTTAAATTTCTTTAATTCATTTCAGCAAGCAAATGTACCTAGTTAATAATTGATGTTGCAGTTTACTCAATAGAGGGAGTGCATTTTGAGAAAGGCTATCTTCTTTTAAGGGTTGCATCTGATCCAATAAACCAAATTATATAATAATAAAGTATGTCACCAATGAAAACAAATACCAGATGGGTTGTAGAACATTTAATTTTAGATCAGTAGACTGAGATAAACACTGCTGTGGCAGACTGTCAGTCACTGGTAAAGCTCAAAAAGGGATTCCCACTGGGTGTCCGCATCCTGGAGGATTCCACTTCCGTGCTTGTTTTAAGTCTTGCTCTATTTGTCCCCATTTGCTTCACATTAATGCTCTTTCAGACATGGTGTGCTGTCCTGGCTGCGTTTCAAGGCATGACAACGCAAGCCGGCAAGGTTTGGCTGCTGAAAGGCAGGAGATGTTCCTGGGCAAGAGCTGTGAGCCTGCCGGGAGGCAGAGCAGCTGCTTTCTGACTGTGGGGAATGGGCTTGTGGCTCATGGCATTTTCCCACCCCGGGGGCACTGAGGCTGTTACCTGACCCAGCTTCCTCCAGCACGGATGTAAATAGTGTCGGCCGGTGTATTTTACTCTTAAGATGCGAATGCTTTCACTACAAGACATTTTCAGTTGCGACACTTAGCTCAAGTCTTAGAGCTATTAGATTGCAACGCTAGTGTTCTTTGGTTTTGGTGTTTTTTCCATCCCCCCCCCC